ACGCATCATTTTAACCCCGAAGTCAGAATTTTGTATTTATTCCTATTAATTTAATTATAATCGTTATTTTTTTCTCTTTTCTTTCGACATGTCGACCTTCTGAGATTCAGATAAAAGGGGAACCAGTCTGGACCAACACGGAGGTCCAACAAACCGGAACCTGAACATTGATCGGTGTTCAGGGGGAATGAAAACCCGGACGGACCCACTCACCGTCCAGGAAGTCCAGATCCAGGAAGAACTTATCGTAGCACAATTCTGGCATAAAATAAGCCACTAAAATCCCTTTTAATGGATCCATGAAGGAAGAACCTCTGGGATAATCTGACGTGTCCGCCATGTTCAGTGACGTTGCGTTTCCCTTTTCTTCTTCGTCTTATTTTTGGTTCAGTTGGCATAAAAACTAAAGGTGCCCACTACCGCCACCTGCTGGTGTGTAGATTTACTGTAATTCTTAGTTTGAGTGGAAATAAATTCACTTACTGACTCTTTTTATTACACATTCCTTATATTAAACTATATTTTTTCTCATTTCGCCAATATTCTTGATTTTTTTTTTACTTTTAAAGACTTTTTGCACCATTTAAACCATAGAATCAATTATTGATGTAAAACAGTCAGTTAAAATCACTGCTAATGTAAAAACAAGTGTCAGATAAAAATCATTAAATGAAGAACATAAAATGTTGTTAAAACCTCACAGCTGAATAAATCCTCCATGTTCTGTGTGGAAGTTAAACTCCAGCCTTATTCTGGCTTTAACCTCCATAGAGCCACAGCATCAAGCTGAGCTCCTTCCTGCAGTCTGTCTCTGCAGGACAATAAACCGCCATCTTTGCTTCACTGATTAAAACATTTAAAAGTCAGGCCTTTGGCTTATTTGTCCCATTTTAAACTCCTCCTATAGAAAGAGTGTTTGTAAAAACCGTCCCCAAAAAGACTAAAAACGCTAATTAAAAGGCTAAAAATTGTCTTTAGTCTTGTGCTCTCCATAAAAATATAGAACATATTTTCAGACGGACCTCAGAAAGGACACTGGTTTAAAACACCCCCCCATTAATAACAGATAAAAACCAGTTTGTGGCGATGGCAGCGTGTAAAATCAGCAGGTTGGTTTTTGATTGGAGGCTCGTATAAAGTCCTCCACTGGGTCCAGATCCAGACCGGCCGGTTCTGAAGGTGTCTTTGGTTTATTGCTTTTGTGCAGCTGTTGGTAAAGAACTTTCTGCTCCATATTAGATAAAACCTCTCTGTGGGTCCAGGCTGGAGGGCAGAGGTCAGCTTTATTCGTGTACAAAACATAGAGACAAGAACAACAAGAAAAGGGACGCGAAGAACGGGACAAAACCTATGAATATTCTATTAATATGTGCGTTTTATGTGTTCAATTCTATTCAGTTTATTTCTATAGCTCCAATTCACATCATGTCATCTCAGGTCACTTTCCAGTTCACCAGATCATCCAGTCAG